GATCCTCCTGCCTCAGCCTCCTGAGTAGCTGGGAGCACAGGCATGCACCACCATGCCTGGCTAATTAAAAAATTTTTTTTTTTAGAGATGAGGCCTTGCCATGTTTCCCAGGCTTGTCTTGAATTCCTGGGCTCAAGCAGTCCTCCTGCCTTAGCCTCCCAAAGTGCTGGGATTATAGGTGTGAGCCACCATGCCCAGCCACTTTTTATGTTTTAATAAAAACATTTTTAGGTAAAATCATATTCTTGGAGTATAATGAGTCAGTATGTTGTGGTAGAGGACACGACAGGACTTAAGTTTTGTGTTACACTTCACAGACTGAGCATGTGGGCCTAGAATATCTCTAGATTACCCCTAGAAATTAATCAAAGCAGCAGTTTCTTTGGTTTTGTGATTAAAAATAACAAATGACTGATGAAACAAATTTGCTTAAAAATATATATACTTCTTTAAAGTGAGATTGACCAATTGCAATTATGTCTTTTTATGATAAGCAGAAATTCTTGCACCTGTCTCTGACATGACTGTGTTTTAGAAAGCTAGAATTGGCTACAAGAAAGTGTGGCTTTTATTTCTGGTTCTGTCATTTATTCAAAGCTTAATAAAGTCTTAATAGCAATAGAAATTTTTTTTGTGTAAGTTGTAGATTTAAAAGAATGGAGAAAGTTTTGACAAAGTGAGAGGAATGGAGATGTGTTTTCTGTTCTCTGTACTGTGCCAAGATGCTGCAAGGCTTATGCTGGGAAACCTAGCAGTTTAAAAGTATTTTTATATTCTGCTCTTCTCCCCATCCAGACTTACAGGTGGTGGTGTGAAAAGACACATTTTAACATTTGGTCTAAGCACATGTAGGGTATCTACTATCTAGTTTTCTTGTTTTGTTTTGCTTTATACTCATTATCAAAGCCCTGCCATCCATGATCTCATTTGGTTAGTATCTTTACGAGATACATGACCCAATAATTTTTCCTCATTTTGTAAGTGGATTCAACCATTGTTTTGTTGATGCATTGAAGGATTTATTCCTATTTGTGATTTTTATGTTTTAGCCTTGGTTAAATAGCCACAGTTCAGTACTCTGTATTATGTGTAAAATGAAGTTAATAACATTATGTAATTCACATCATAAGTATAGCATGATGTGAAAAGTATCTTTCCTGTTTGCCCAGGATTTCTGACTAGATGGTAACTTTGTAATCAAAAGAAGCTAAATTCCCCATTTTTTGAGTTTGAAGATTGTGCCTGTTTATGACATCCGCTACTTTACTACATAAATTGCTAAGACCTGGAAAACTCTGCTCTAAGCATCACCCCTACATTTCCCATGCTCTCTTACAAAGTAGGCTAGCATGGGCTGGGGGAACTGTTTTTTGGAATGTACATAGTTAATGAAATGGTGGCCATCCCTCATTTGTTCTCACAAAATTTTGAGGTAAGTGTTGAAAGAGTTGGTTGTGAAGTTTGTGGGTGTGGCTGCCGGAAGGGGAGTTTGGCATCTTCTTCTCTGGTTGAATGTTTGCTGTGTGGACAGATTTTGGTGTCTCTGGAATGTACTGAACGAGTCTAGGGGAAAACATGCTGGGAATACACTTTCCTTTTCTTTCCTTGTTTCCCATTTCAGTCTGGAGGGAATGAGATGTTTGTCTCTGGAGATGTGGGGGCACCTTTGGATACAGAGACTGGCACCTGCATCTGTCTTAGAGATTTCTTAGCGCAATAGACTTGCTGGAGTAGCCTGTGCCAGCTGGGCTTGAAGGGACTCTCGGACAGTATGCCTTGAAAGAAGGTCTCGGTGATCAAGTAAAGAAGACCCGAGTGTATCTGATGATCTATGTGAGGGAAGGAGCATAGGCATAAATGAAGATGTTAGAGTCATAGGAGCTTCCTCTGGGGACACTTGGCTAGGTGAGTATATGTAAAACTCTGATGGAGTTGGGCCCCAGTGTCTCTTATTCCCATGTGTGTTTCCGTGTGTACTCAATCTTTAGCTCCCATTTATAACAGAGAACTTTGTATTTGGTTTTCTATTACTGCATTAGTTTGCTTAGGATAATGGCCTCCAGCTGCATCTGTGTTCCTGCAAAGCACATGATCTTGTTTTTTCCTATGTCTGCATAGTATTCATGGTGTATATGTACCACATTTTCTTTATCCAGTCTACCATTGATGGGCATCTAGGTTGATTCCATGTTTTTGCTATTGTGAATAGTGCTGTAGTGAACATATGTGTACCTATGTCCTTTTAGTTGAGCAGTTTATATTCCTTTGGGTATATACCCAATAATGGGATTACTAGGTCAAATGGTAGTTCTGTTTTCAGTTCTTTGAGAAATCTCCAATCTGCTTTCCACAGTGACTGAACTAATTTACATTCCCACCCGCAGTGTATAAGCATTCCCTTTTCTCTACAACCTTGCCAGCATCTGTTTTTGGCTTTTAAATAATAGCCATTCTGATTGGTATGATAGGGGATCTCAGGGTGGTTTTGATTTGCATTTCTCTAATGATTAGTGATGTTGAGTATTTTTTTTTCATATGCTTGTGTATGTATTCTTTTGAAACATGTCTGTTCATGTGCTTTGCCCAGTTTTAAATGGGGCTGTTTGATTTTTCTGACTGATGTGAGATGGTATCTCATTGCGGTTTTGATTTGCATTTGTCTGGTGATTAGTCATGTTAAGCATTTGCATGATTTAGATCTGTCCCCACCAAAATCTCATCTTAAATTGTAGTTCTTATAATCCCCACATGTCATGGGAGGGACCTGGTGGGAGGTAATGTAGTCACAGGAGTGGTTACCCTCATGTTGTTTTCCTGATAGTGCGTGAGTTCTCATGAGATCTGATGGTTTTATAAGGTGCCTTTCCCCCTTTTGCTTGGCACTTCTCCTTGCTGCTGCCACATGAGGAAGGATGTGTTTGCTTCCCCTTCCACCATGATTGAAAGTTTCCTGAGGCCTCCCCAGTTAACGCTGAACTGTGAGTCAGTTAAACCTCTTTGCTTTATAAATTACCCAATTTCAAGTATATCTTTATTAGAAGTGTGAGAACAGACTAATATAGCATTTTTTCATATGCTTTTTGGCTGTGTGTGTGTCTTTGTTTGAGAAGTGTCTGTTCATGTCCTTTGCCCATTTTTTAATTGGGGCTGCTTGTTTTTTGCTTGTTGATTTAAGTTCCTTATAGATTCTAGATATTGGACCTTTGTCAGATGCATAGTTGGTGAATAATCTTTTCCTATTTCATGGGTAGTCTGTTTACTTTGTTAATTGTTTCCTTTGCTGTACAGAAAATGTTTAATTATGTCCCACTTGTCTATTTTTGTTTTTGTTACCATTGCTTTTGGGGACTTTGTTATGAAATTGTTGCCAAGGCATATATCCAGAATGATGTCTTCTAAGTTTTCTTCTATGGTTTTTATAGTTTGAGGCTTTATAATTACTTTTTAAATCCATTTTGAGTTGATTTTTACGTATGGTGAAAGAAAATAGTCCAGTTTCAGTCTTCTGCATGTGGCCAGCTATTTATCCCAGCACCATTTATTGAATAGGGAATCCTTTATCCATTGCTTGTTATTGTTGACTTGTTAAAGATCTGGTGATTG